GTTCTTAATGTATCCTAGATTATTTCAGCAAAGTTCCAGCTCGAATGAAAGAGTTTTAATTTTGGAGCGATTTTCGTCCAAGTGGCCCTTTAACTCATCGGAAGTGCTTAGTGTTGACACTAAAACCCCAGAGCTAAAACCTGCTAAAACCCTGAACAGCTTAACTTCTTTTAAATCTTTATTTCAAGAGCTTTCTACTGTTTTGAACCCTCTAAAATGAATCATTAAGTTCAAATACACAGTGATAAATCGTAGTTCCAATAGATTGACAAATGATACATTTGCGGTTTTTTTTAAGTAGCAAAAAAACTGCCCAATGTTCTCACTGTAATACTCGTGTATGTCTTACTCATGTATGTTATCATCCACTGTTCTGAAAAGTCATAGAAATGAACATATATCCACCAAATTGAACATTTTTAGTGTTTTATATGTATGTGATTTCGATTTATTAATGTCTAAAGTGAGTTTGATAAAATGTTGTACTCAAATAATTTTTTGAAATTTTGGCCGCCATGTTGGAAGAYGTTAGATATCATGCTGCGAGTTTTAGCCATATATTTAAACTAAAAAATTGGTAACTTCTTTCACCAATAGTCGTTGCTTCCTTTGTAAGAGTTAAAAGTAGTCATTATAGATTTTAATTTTAATTTTAACTCTTATTAACTTATATGTATCATATTTTAGAATTTTCATTTTAGAACAATTCATACTTTAGAATTATTTTATTTAGTTATCTATTGTATATTTTTATAAGTTATTCATGTATTTTTTTATTTGCAAAATAATTCCCTATATTTATTCTTAGGTATATACATGATTATTTTGGTACCAATATTTATATAGTGTTTTCAGATCCAAAACAAAGAGGTAATAGGACGGAATTATAATAGATGTACTGACGCGATAGAATATTCACTGAAATACAAGACATTTTCTAACGACAAAACCGAGTGAAAAACTTTACACGAGTAAACTATGGGTATGAACCGTGCACGAAAAGCTGGTAATCTGTATATAACTAAACTCTTTACTAGAAAACGAGTTTACAACATATTTGCTTACGAAAAACTAAATAATCTTAAGAATCAGACCATTTTCCTCAGAGAATCGCCCTACTAATACCTACTTTTCACGTTTTGACTCAACAACAAACGGAATTAAATTAGTCGTATTAAATCAATCTTTGCTATCAAATGTCTTTGCAACATAATCTTGACAAAAATAGGTTAAACAATTACATGATGTACCATAATTTGTGTGCTATCTTTATCTTAAATTAAGTGATACCAATTTCAGATAATTTAGCAAAACACTAGCTAGGGTTGAATTGTTAATTAATGATTTTGAAAAAAAAATTTTTTTCCTTGATATACACTTTAAGGAACATTTCTTTGAGGATTCACATGAATAGATATAAACTCTTAGAAAATGAGTTTCTTTTACTAGGTATCTCTTTATACAGAAGTCATTGGCTTGATTTTCACTAACAATTTGAAAACGTTCTTGGTCACATCCGTGCAGTGAAATCAAAATTTATTCAGAAAAAGGTTCCCTTATTTTTAGTTTATTTTATTTATTTGTCGATCATTGCGATTACAAAAGATCTAATGTAATGCTTGCAGTAGTCAATATAATGAAGTACACTATTTTCTTTTCCCTCAAGTTTGTCTGTTTCCTGGGTTATGCTGTCCTTTGGCTAGTACAAGGACGTTTGGAAGGACGTTTAAATGTAAGTGATGTATTTTTTTGTTTTAACTACTGCTTATTATGGTTATAAAAGATTTGATTGCAAATTCCCTGATTATAGGCTGTTCTTTTAAAACATATTTTTAAGAACAGGGAGTCAAATATTTTAAATGTCACGCAATACCTGCCAAGAGCCCATTTCAAAACTGTATTTTTGTAATTGGAAATTCGAACATTACTCTGTTGATTCAGAGGTTATAAACACAACTAACAAAAGCAAAACGAATTCAAGTAAATGGGGGGAAATGTGAAAAGCGACAAAGAACTGAGACTACACAAGTTGGTTTAATTTTGTAAAACCAACAATATGATTTATTCTAAATTAGAAATATATTAGGCATTCCGAATTTGAGAAAAAAACTGGGTGGAGTTGGCATCGCAATTGCAGTGCATTGTGGGGCCAGCTTTTTTCTCAACATCGGAACGGCTATCCTATTTCTTGTGGATGTTAGATTGACTTTTTGTTTTGGTTTGAACAGGATCAAGTAGAAGTAAATATGAACGAAATAATTCAAGATGGTATCAATCAGGAACTTTAACGATACATATAACCAGCTAAAGTGCATTTTACGGTTTATGAAAATCACTGTATCTGGGGAACATAAAGTTGTATATATATTTAAAAAAAGTTGTATAATTAGTGAGTAACAATACAGTCAAATTAAAACAAGAGAAAACAATGGAATTAGTGTTAACAACTATGTACCATACTTATTATTCTTTCACGGGCCAAGTAAAATAATTCTATTTACATAATATACTCCACTCTATGACCAGCATACTCTGTCCAACACCACATCCCCGTATAACATAGTATGGGAATACCAAGCTACTCCGTCCTCTCCTGGGGCCACTTTGAAGGCCATCTGTTTCGGTGTTTCTTTTAATGGGCCCTTCTTAAAATTGTCACAAATTCCGCATGATTTTTTTTATATTTCCAAGTAAGCCTCGCAACCACGATACTTTTGATCCATTGTAAAAATACTTGTAGAGCCTTAGCACCATTACTTGATGACAGCCATGATAGGAGGCAGGAACAATTGAATCTGGTCTAATCCAATTTACATAAGAAAGAATTCCGTTTTCCAAGGGAAAATACTCTATTTTTGTGCCTCCTGACTTGGCCTCATGACATCAAGTGATGGTGCAGAGCCCCTAACTATTACTGGTTTCCAATCCCGCCATATTGGTAATTCAAATTTCATCTAAAAATACACGTAAAAATAACGGATTTTGATCATTTCGTATTATTTAATCAATATTTATCAATATTATGTGTGAGTTACTTTGAAACTGTAGTTATAATACTTTTTCTCCCCTACATATCGTATTAATAATAATATAATAATCATTATTTACCGTGATCAATGGGCTTAGCTAAAAGCTAATTTGCAGCCATGCCACAAAAAAATAGACAATACTAGAAATAAAAAGTAATTTAAAAACTCATAAGGAATATAAGGAATACTACATATATACTAGAAATACTAAAAATTCATTCAATGTTATTCAAATAGGGTTTATTTGCAAAATAAAAAAAATAAAAGATTCAAGTAGCTCTGTTGCTATAGAAACTATGGTCTACCATTTACTCGCCCAGCGAATCAATGTTTATCTCCCCCAGTCTCCCTCATCCTAAACTTAAACGAAACCGGAAATAAACTTTGTTGATTACTTCCGCTCGCACCATTCTTCCTCCGGAAACTCGACCGAATCAAATCAAAGTTCCCCTGTTCTTATGAAATGCAAACATGACAGGAGGCAGCAGGAACATTTCTGACTTCGTAGAGAAAAGTCGTCGCTGATTGGTAATTTTCGGATGTAGTTCAATGCTCATGTCACCAGCCAATATCATGGGAAAATTTTCACAAAGCTTGGTTTAATCATGGAGACTAATTGGTGAAGCATAAAACTTGTAAACACAGTTGCTATTATGAAGCTAGCCGTTATGCCAAAATCTAGTTAAGGTCTATGATATGCTTTAAATACAAATACATATATACATACAAGTTTTATCTTAGGTGAGTTAAACAAACAGTTGGTTTCCAATCTAGCCCACCGTACCAATAAATAGAAAACTAATAAATTTAAATGCATGACTGCTGATCACATTGCATTTCAAATCAAAATCAAACGACGTCACTGGATTTGTCAAAATATTAGCCTATCGCTCAGCTTAATTTAGGGTAAGACTCTGAGGTTGAACAACTTTAAAAGATGTGTATTGACATAATTCATATATAATTTTTCTTGCAGATGGCTGAAAATATCAAAATTAACGGTGCTGAGAAAAAAATTGAAAACTTAACAAAACTTCAGCTGATAGGATCAAATATCAATCTCTGAATCGTACATTTATTAATTATGGATTTTTTAAACAGTCGAGTGGAATTACCAAGGTTATTTTGACCGACATTTGCCAGCAAAACGTTCCTTTTAAGATTGCAATTTTTTTAAAGACAAACGTCTTTAGTTTTGTTAAGAATATTTTATGCTCTCTCTGGATGATGGCTCATATCCATTTACGATCGCGAAAAAGGTAACTATAGAACATAAACTATAAATTTTTATTGTAAACACAAATTTTATTTGAACTTTCGTCGATTCGGAAGCTTAGCATGAGACCTAAGCGCGGTGATATATCTCCTGATTTTAATTTTTCTTTATTTATTCTGTGCTCCATTGAACGTATTGACGACTGGCTTCAGTTCCAAGAAATGTTGCTCGGAACTGCGCGCGGAACAAAACAGAAACCAAAAGAGGTTCAAAAGAAGAGGTATGCCGTATTCGTAAGACTTTGATTTATCCCCTTTTTAAGAAAGAAATCAAGCCATAATAATTTTATATATTTTTATTTATTTCAATAAATTGCTTTAATCTTTGTCGTTGGTACTTTATTGCTGTGACTTTTCGCTTTTAATTTTTGAAATAGCAATCAAAGACCCAAGTTTCTCAAGAAGTCAATCAAGTAAAAACCAAAATTTTTTTAACTAAAGTATGACGATGACTCTCGAACACGGACTTGTCGGCTATCAGCACGATGTCGAAAAAGTAAACAAATTTCTTTTTCATCTTTTTCGAGTATAACGTTAGATTTTGGGTTGCTGGAGATCAGATGAAGAATAACTATTGTGGTTTTTATTTGTTCCGACATAGGAATCGAAGAAGGAGAAGGGTCGAGATGGACTCAGCCTAGCATCGTTTCGAGGAAAAAGTAAACGAAAGTTTTCATTTAATTTCGGCCAAAAGCTAAAGCGTGATGGGATGACGAACTAGTTATGCAACTCCGAGGCCCTGAAAAGTTTAACAACGACAACAACAAAAGAAATGCGTAGAAAGGGATTTCAAATAAAGCGACCAAATGCAGAAATCGATCAGACGAAGTAAAGCACAGCGAAAAGGGCAAACATGATTGTGGTACACAAGAAAATGACTGAATGTCGAAAAAGATTAGAAGAAATGGAAGAAATCAGGTAGATAAAAAGACAATGCTATTCCTAATTATTTGTTGAAAATGTAGTTCTTTGTGAAAATGTTTATGGAAAGAACGAGAATATTGTTTGCGCAAACTCGATCATACACTGTCCGCTGGATATTTCGGAGCCAGCGCATATTACAAAACCATGTGAACCGTGTTGAGCGGTTGCAATCGGGAGAGCAAAAGAAGACTCCTTCTCTTCCTCTTGCCTCTTGGTATGTTTTTAACTCTACTCTACGATATTACAAATTTGCTAACGAAAAACTAAWTGATTTAAGGAATGTTTCAAGTTTTTTTTCTCAGAAAATCGCCGTTCTAAATTTGTTCAACAGGAAAAATTTCACTGACGTTTTGACTTCAACATCGTCATATATTCCGAATCCGACTTTGCCGCTTACTTACATATGTCTTTGCAATATGTTCTCGGCAAATAACTGAAAAAATGGGTTAAAAAATTACCCGATGTATCATAATTTGTGCTGTCTTTATCTTAAAGTGATATAAATCTTACATAATTTAGCAAAATACTAGCTTGTGTTGAATGTTCTTCTTCTCTCCAAAGCTCGCACAACTTTTAGTGGTCTCAACGCTTTCAAAATTAAGCTTGTATACCCTTTTCCATTCTTTGCATCCCGAACTAAAGCAAACTTTGTCGTCCTCTCGACCTACCAATGTCTCTGTTCTTCCTCCTTCTCTAAACACGTCAGGTAAGCTCTCTTTTCCTCGGCAAACTAAACTCTGTAGCTCGACTTGAAGACCTCCTTTGTGCACGTTGCTCTAATCTCAATTATTTATCTGCAAATTATTGCGTCACTAGATAATTATCATTATACACTAATTTCTATAGAAAATTAAAGGAAAAGGAAAGGTAAAGGAATCAACTCAGTGCATACCATGCTCGAGAAAAGTGCCTCTAGTGCAACTGAGTGGTACGAAAATAGTCTCTTGGAGCGAAACTTGAAGAAGTATCAGGCTATGTACATTCAAAATAAATATGGTAGTAAGAACGAACAGATGAGTTGTACAGAAGATAAAACTAGCTTGAACGTAAATGGTAGGATCATTAAGACGTCTGATACGTTGAAACTTTTAGGAGTTACAATAGATAATAAGTTAAATTTTAATGAGCACATTAATGATATATGTAAGAAGGCAAGTCAAAGGGTTGGGGTAATCATGAGACTGAGAAACTTAATTCCCACCACTGCAAAGTTAGTACTTTTCAAAACAGCCATCCTACCATATTTAACATATTTTCATCTAGTATGGCATTTTTTGTAGGGCTAGTGATACTCGTAGGTTGGAGAGAATCCAGGAAAGAGGATTAAGGGCCGTTTATAGGGACACAAAATCCAGCTATAATCAGTTATTGAATAGGGCGAATTTACCTACACTGTTAAATAGACGTCTTCAAGACATTTGTATTCTGATGTATAAAGTTAAACACACCAAGATGTGTTCCGAAGCTATTAACTAACATGTTCAAACCTCGTGATTCTTGTTACAGCCTTAGAAACTCAGATTTTCTTATACCTAGATTTAACACAGTCACGTTTGGTAAGCATTCCCTTAGATATCTAGGTCCCATACTTTGGAGCAAATTAGACAAAAAAGACAGATTAAGCAAATCCCTAGGTGATTTTAAAAATCGCATCCGTAAAAAAAACCTTACATCTTTTTAAAATTGACAACGGATGTAGAGGGTGTTTTTTATGTAATAGTTGAAAGGCTGATTAGAATTTTATTACATTATTATCAAAACATTAGAATATTTATATTTTATATTTATGAAATAATTTTTTTAGTACTTTATTGAATTAATTTTTGGTCTTAATTAATATCATTGTATATCTTATGATCTTATTTTATTATTATACCTTAGGTGTCCCCTATTAGTAGAGGGTTTTCCCTCAGCTAGTTATTTTCTTGACACGTTAATAAAGTATCTATCTATCTTTCTATCTATCTATCTATCTATCTATCTATCTATCTTTAGATTCATGGATGGCCCTAGTGTAACCTAAATATAATAGATAGCATTTTTCGTACTCTTAAAAACGTGCTATTTCAATCCAAATAGAGTGGATTGACAGATATTGATGCTGTTTCTCCTCCCTAGGAGTCACTCTTTCATTGCTTTCGTTTTCAAATTTTACGAACCTCACAAACCTAGCTATGTTACATTAGGGAACATGGTCGTGGATTCTGCGGTTTCTTAATCGATCAAAAACCCAATATGATAGGAAWTCAGGTTAGATCATGCTTAACACTGTCTACTGATGCCCCCAAACATCCACTCAGTATTTAAATTTCATTAGGAAATCGGGACGAAAATTTCAAGTAAGTTCGTATGAACTTCACTAGGTCCTAGGGTTTGAAGAAATTTCAAAATGATCAAAAAACGTGCATCTTCATGAAAAACTGCAATATCTTTCCACCGTTTTAATTTAGTGCCACCAAATTCAAGCACATACATTCTAGATAACTGTACTAGATGTCCTCAAAATTCCATGCAACAATATTGAGTATTTTTTGAGTTAGAAGGATTTTCTTGGCCAAAGTTGTCGAAATGTGCGAAACCGAAAAGTAGCTGTTTTGAGCAAATCTAACCATTCCAAGCGGATAATGATAACTTCTTACAAACATTGAGGATAGGAATGGATTTTATACCAGTTGATAAGAGGTTTCTTTCACACACTACACCAAAAGTGGAGGATAAAATAACATAATTCTAGGAAGTTATGATTTTTTATATGTACCCCTGTAAAATGACGCTCACGTTACAAATGGGAAAGTTAGGGTTAAGTTGGAATAAAGTTTTTTTCAGGTTCCATTTTGTTCGCGRAACTKAATCTCTTGCCATGAATAGAGTCAATTCGGTGAATCCTAATACACAATTGAGTTGCTTTCGCTAAATTGCTTGTTTTGAATTTTTAATCTCCAACATTAAAATGTTACAAAAGGGAACATCGGCGAAAAACACCGAAAATATAGCTTCTTCTCCGGGACTTTTTTGTTATGTAGAAATCGAATATACGCATCACCAACTTGTTAGATAGTTGGTACGAGTGTAGAATGGTGCCTYGTTTTTGGGAATACGGCGTTTCTCCCTTGTTTTATCTGTAAGCATTTAGATACATTATTCGCACGTTTTTCCTTTCATATGTTAGTAATCTTTTATATCTGTAAAAAATTAAAGCTACTTCTAATAGTAACATCAGTTCATTATTTTCATCATTGCATTCGTTTAAATGGTTTCATTATTGCATTAGCGCATTTACGTAAGAGCCTCATMGCTTTTATATGACTAACAAAACGAAGGATGTTTGACACTTTCGTGAGTTTTGAACCTTAACACATTTTGCTAAATAACCTTGCTTTACAAACTCAAGGCAGTTAAGGTGCTGACACACGGTGAAACATTGCATGCAGCATTACATGCAAAAGGACTGTCGTAGCGTGTGTCTACCACAAACTTGTTGCACGCAACGTTGCATGCAACAAATCTGAAGTTGAATCGCGCTAGTCTACTTTTGCAGCGTTGCGCRCAACAAATTTCATCATGTGAACATGTCTGCAACATTACCTGCAGCATTTTGAAATTTAAAGCGAAAAAGCTTGCACCAAATTTATGACTGCGGACCAAATATCTTAACATAGCAGGCTGACACAAGCGATGTTGCATGATTTTATTCCAATGTCACTCCGATTCAAATTTATTGCTTGCAATGTTGCGCGCAATGTTGCACCGTGTGTCAGCAACTTAAACGCCATTGAAATCTTGATGATAACATAAAGGCCATAACTATAATGAGTAAAGCTGAAGTTACTTGCACTACTTCAATCGTTTGTTGCATTGCACTGTGTAAAAATACCATTAAACGTCAAGCAAACAAAACACAACCGAACACTGGGTATCACTAGCACTAATAACGACTTCTAAAGTAATGTAAAACTTAGTTAAGAAGTAGGATAGAGGCCAAACTACTTTGTGGCTGTATTTATTTCGATAAAAAATATTGTAGTTTTTAGTCAAAACTCTGTGTATGTGCAATTGGTGTAAAATATTTGTTATCAGTTTCAAAGAACATCATAACAACACAAGACTTAGTAAAAGGTTACATTAGGCAACTATTACTGCAAGTGGTCGTAATACTCTTTTTAAAATCGATTTTAATCCCGGAAAAACATTTCCTAAAAAGAAAACAGTAAGCTAATGGTGTTCTCTAAGCATTCCGATCCACCATATTGCACTTTTTATTTAAAAAGAATAAAGAGGAATGACAAAAAATTGAAGGCAAATATGGAGTTACATAAGGGAACTATCGAAGTAACTGGTTTTAGTACACTTTTTAAAATCGATTTTTATCCCCAAAAAACTTTCTCAGAAAGTGAACAACTATGATAATACTCTTCAAAAAGCATTGCGATTTACCATATCACCTTTTTTATTTGAAATAAATAAAAAGAAATGACAGAAAATTGAATGCGAATGTGGAGTTACATAAGGGAACGCCTTGAGTTACAAAAGGGAACCTCCGGTTACATTAGGGARCGTGTCAGGTTACATTGGGGAACATCAAGTTACATTAGGGAACTCGTGAGGTTACATTAGGGATCG